CTCACGCTGCCTTCCATGTAAGCCGGTCTCTCTGCCTCATGCTGCCTTCCATGTAAGCCAGTCTCTCTGTCTCACGCTGCCTTCCATGTAAGCCGGTCTCTCTGCCTCACGCTGCCTTCCATGTAAGCCGGTCTCTCTGTCTCACGCTGCCTTCCATGTAAGCCGGTCTCTGTCTCACGCTGCCTTCCATGTAAGCCGGTCTCTCTGCCTCATGCTGCCTTCCATGTAAGCCGGTCTCTCTGCCTCACGCTGTGGATGTTTCTGTGTTTCAGGTTGCGGATGGTATTGAATTTTTCTCTGCATCATTGGAAGCAGCAGGTCCCATTCATAGTGCAGGTAATGATTTCTTTTGAGAGGGTCCTGTCATGTCTACTGGTACTTGTGGATGGACTCACACTTTTCTCTGATTCTAGATGCTGTCTGATCATTGTCCCCAGCTGTCATCTCTCACACTTTCCAATTGCCATGAGGTCACATTAGACGCTCTGCTTTCTGTGACTCATAACTGTCCTCGACTGTGCTCCCTCAATCTGCAGAACTCACAGGTCAGAACCTTTTCAGCCAAGACAGTAGTCATGGTTTGTGCCAGCTCTGATGGGTATCATCAAGGAAGATTAACATGAGCTGAAAATGGCTAAAGGAAGCCCTCTATCCTTGTCTCCCCGCACACAGTGAGTGTATTATAACTGCAGCTATAAGGTTATGGTGTAAGGAGGTCCCCTGTCTCCCCACACACAGTGTAATATAACTGCAGCTGTAAGGTTATGGTGTAAGGAGGTCCCCTGTCTCCCTGCACACAGTGTGTTATAACTGCAGCTATAAGGTTATGGTGTAAGGAGGTCCCCTGTCTCCCAGCACACAGTGTATTATAACTGCAGCTATAAGGTTATGGTGTAAGGAGGTCCCCTGTCTCCCTGCACACAGTGTGTTATAACTGCAGCTATAAGGTTATGGTGTAAGGAGGCCCCCTGTCTCCCCTCACACAGTGTATTTTATAACTGCAGCTATATAAGGTTATGGTGTAAGGAGGGTCCCCTGTCTCCCCCACACACAGTGTATTATAACTGCAGCTATAAGGTTATGGTGTAAGGAGGTCCCCTGTCTCCCCGCACACAGTGTATTATAACTGCAGCTATAAGGTTATAGTGTAAGGAGATTCCGGTCTCCCCACACACAGTGTATTATACCTGCAGCTATAAGGTTATGGTGTAAGGAGGTCCCCTGTCTCCCCGCACACAGTGTATTATAACTGCAGCTATAAGGTTATGGTGTAAGGAAGTCCCCTGTCTCCCTCCACACAGTGTATTATAACTGCAGCTATAAGTGTAAGGAGGTCCCCTGTCTCCCCGCACACAGTGTATTATAACTGCAGCTATAAGGATATGGTGTAAGGAGGTCCCCTGTCTCCCCGCACACAGTGTATTATAACTGCAGCTATAAGGTTATGGTGTAAGGAGATCCCCTGTCTCCCCTCACACAGTGTATTATAACTGAAGCTATAAGGTTATGGTGTAAGGAGGTCCCCTGTCTTCCCGCACACAGTGTATTATAACTGCAGCTATAAGGTTATGGTGTAAGGAGGCCCCCTGTCTCCCGGCACACAGTGTATTCTAACTGCAGCTATAAGGTTATGGTGTAAGGAGGTCCCCTGTCTCCCATACACAGTGTAATTATAACTGAAGCTATAAGGTTATGGTGTAAGGGAGGTCCTGTCTCCCGCACACAGTGTATTATAACTGCAGCTATAAGGTTATGGTGTAAGGTCCCCTGTCTCCCATACCTGGTGTATTGCTGCAGCTATAGGGTTATGGTGTGAGGAGGTCCCTGTCTCCCCGCACACAGTGTATTATAACTGCAGCTATAAGGTTATGGTGTAAGGAGGCCCCCTGTCTCCCCGCACACAGTGTATTATAACTGCAGGTATAAGGTTATGGTGTAAGGAGGACCCCTGTCTCCCCACACACAGTGTATTATAACTGCAGCTATAAGGTTATGGTGTAAGGAGGTCCCCTGTCTCCCCGCACACAGTGTATTATAACTGCAACTATAAGGTTATGGTGTAAGGAGGTCCCCTGTCTCCCCGCACACAGTGTATTATAACTGCAGCTATAAGGTTATGGTGTAAGGAGGTCCCCTGTCTCCCTGCACACAGTGTAATATAACTGCAGCTATAAGGTTATGGTGTAAGGAGGTCCCCTGTCTCCCTGCACACAGTGTATTATAACTGCAGCTATAAGGTTATGGTGTAAGGAGGTCCCCTGTCTCCCAGCACACAGTGTATTATAACTGCAGCTATAAGGTTATGGTGTAAGGAGGTCCTCTGTCTCCCTGCACACAGTGTATTATAACTGCAGCTATAAGGTTATGGTGTAAGGAGGCCCCCTGTCTCCCTGCACACAGTGTATTATAACCGCAGCTATAAGGTTATGGTGTAAGGAGGTCCCCTGTCTCCCCACACACAGTGTATTATAACTGCAGCTATAAGGTTATGGTGTAAGGAGGTCCCCTGTCTCCCCACACACAGTGTATTATAACTGCAGCTATAAGGTTATGGTGTAAGGAGATCCCCTGTCTCCCCGCACACAGTGTATTATAACTGCAGCTATAAGGTTATGGTGTAAGGAGGTCCCCTGTCTCCCCGCACACAGTGTATTATAACTGCAGTTATAAGGTTATGGTGTAAGGATGTCCCCTGTCTCCCCGCACACAGTGTATTATAACTGCAGCTATAAGGTTATGGTGTAAGGAGGTCTCCTGTCTCCCCCACAGCGTATTATAACTGCAGCTATAAGGTTATGGTATAAGGAGGTCTCCTGTCTCCCCCACAGCGTATTATAACTGCAGCTATAAGGTTATGGTGTAAGGCATTCCCCTGTCTCCCCGCAGTTTTCAACTCATTCAGTGTTAGCCTGTTGTAACGAACCGCCAGTATCCTGAGTGATACGTTTGTTCGAAGTCTCCCAATATCCAGCAAGGTCGTGTGATTATCTAGCTCTGACCGTTGCATACCCAAACATCAATCGAGACTTGATGAAGGGTACAAAAGGAATGTTTTATTATGGCCAAATGTCCTGCTTTTATACATAGACCAGTCTTCAGCTAAAACATAGGTAAAGCCCGCCCAGGTGTCTTTGTGTCTGGAAGATAAGTGAGTTTGCTTTGCCTCAACTAATTATCTCCCAGGCACTAGAGGTATACTGCATAAAACATAAAAACACCCCAAAACACACACTATTAATAGGAACCCCCACAAGTCTTATATCCCCGGATCTGAGCTCCCAAGTTGTCCAAATAGCGATCAGATGCCGATAATGCAGCCGTTTTGCCACCGGGGTAAAGTTTTGATCGACCACACACGTTGGAGCTGCCCAAATTAGTTCCATAAGAAAAGTGGTAGCAGTCGGTCAGCCTTCAGGAGTGCCTACACTAAATAATTCAGGGGAGTCTTTTCACCGAACAGCGGTCTCTTGGCTTGTCTGGGAAATAAGCAGGCGGCGGTACAAAGTTACAGAGATTCGTGGGTCAGAGTATCCGTCTTTACGTTCCAGGCACTCAATGACCTCGTGCCGCTGCCTGCGTTTGGGAGACAAAATGGCCGCCATTCTCCAGAGCACTTGTTTTCAGTTCTATGAATGGCGGCCACCCAGAGAGAGCACTTGAGTTTGTGGTTCTTTTGAAGATAATGAGCCAGGGGGTGGTCTGTAGTGATGTCGCGATCATGAAATTTTCGGTTCGCGAATGGCGAACGCAAATTTCGGCAAATGTTCGCGAACCGCCATAGACTTCAATAGGCAGGAGAATTTTAAAACACACAGGGACTCTTTCTGGCCACAATAGTGATGGAAAAGTTGTTTCAAGGGGACTAACACCTGGACTGTGGCATGCAAACTCCGATCCGCGGCTGCATCTTGCAGCCGCTTAGTAGATAACTCCCTAATTCCCACGGTATAAGGGAGCTATCTACTAAAAGGCTGAAAGGCCTAAATTGGTCTTTCAGCCACATTTACTAATACTAAGTAAAGATTACTTAGTATTAGTAAATTCTGCCCCTACTCGCTATGCAGCGAGTAGGGGCATGTCTAGTAAGCAGTGAGCAGCCAGTGGCTGCTCACTGTAAAAAACAAACAAAAAAAAAACCTATTGCCCCCACCCCTGTGCGACGGGTGGGGGCCATAAATTACAATGGGGGGGAGGACCTACTGTCCTCCCCCCCGGCCCCCACCCCTGGGCGGCGGGTGGGGGCCATAAAGATAATAAGGGGGGGGGACCTACTTTCCTCCCCCCGGCCCCCACCCCTGGGCGGCGGGTGGGGGCCATAAAGATAATGAGGGGGGGAGCCTACTGTCCTCCCCCCCGCCCCCTCCCCTGTGTGGTGGGTGGGGGCCATAAAAATAATGAGGGGGGGGCACCTACTGTCCTCGCCTACCCCCGGCCCCCACCCCTGAGCGGTGGGTGGGGGCAAATAAATCACAATGGGGGGGGGACCTAAGGTCCTCCCCCCTGGCCCCCACCCCTGAGCGGCGGGTGGGGGCCCTAAATACTAAAAAGGGGGGACCTAATGTCCTCCCAGCCCCCACCCCCTGAGCCAAGTGGTGGGGGCCCCAATACCAAAGGGGGAACCCACCCCCGCCCCCACCCCTGAGCCGTGGTGGGGCCCTAACATAAAAAGGGGACCCACGTCCTTCCTCAGCCCCCCACCCCCTGAGCCATGGTAGGGGCCCTGAATACTAAAAGGGGGGGGGAATCTAATGTCCTCCCCCCCGGACCCCACCCCTGAGCGGCGGGTGGGGGCCCTAAAAAAAATGTCCCAAACCCCTAGTCACCCCCTCCCCCCCCTCCAAAAAAAATTTATCCCCCTACCTACCCCCCTCACCCTAAAAATAATGAGGGGGGAACCTTTAACTAAATACCTGTAAAAAAAAAAAAACTTTACCTGTCACAGCACTCTGATTGGTTGGTTTGAAATCCACCAATCAGAGTGCTCTGTGTCGTTTTACACAGCGTGGGAAAGTCCTTTGGAATTTTCCCACGCTGTGTAATTTGACTCATAACTCTCTGATTGGTTACTTTCAATCCACCAATCAGAGTGTTGTTATGAGTCAAGGGGTGGGGGCCGGGGGGGAGGACATTAGGTCCCCCCCCCCCTTTTTAGTATTTAGGGTCCCCACCCGCCGCTCAGTGGTGGGGGCCAGGGGGGAGGACCTTAGGTCCCCCCCCATTGTGATTTATTTGCCCCCACCCACCGCTCAGGGGTGGGGTCCGGGGGGGAGGACATTAGGTCCCCCCCCTTTTTAGTATTTAGGGCCCCCACCCGCCGCTCAGTGGTGGGGCCAGGGGGGAGGACCGCCGGCGAACTGTTCGGGACATCTCTAGTGGTCTGTAGATAAAACTACCGAACCTAGGGAAACAGCTTGGGCTTGGGGGAAAATAAAGAAAGTATCAAGGCCGTTTGTCACACCTGTAAACTATAAAACAGTACACGGGCTAATATTACATAGTATTGTTTACGTTATGGCAATATTATAATTTAGTGCAATCAATTTTTAAATTAATGAAATAAGTAATTTACTTACCCTTATTCCAGAAGCGTGTGGGTCCACCGCTGCTTGCTCAACTCCCGCCCCAACTCCTTGGCTGAGATCATCTAAAATAACTATCACAGCCAGTCCAATGCTTTCACATAGGGTTGGGGGGCAGAGACAAATGCTGTGCTGGCCAATGTTAAGCATCCCCGTGCAGAGCGTAAAGACTCTCTGAATGTCCGCGCTACATGTTGTGCAGAACTGACCCTGGAAGCACCTCTGGTGGTCTTCTAAGTGACTGCCACGGGAGGTCTAAGGCCAGGGCGCATGTGTGGAATGTCAGGAATGCCCACCATTAGTTAGTATGTGTAGCTTAATTATTCGATATAATCATTGTAATGTGGGTGTAACTTTTGTGTTCTCTGTATACATATGTAATACGTAATTTACAGTATATAGCCTTTGTTTGCTGGTGGAGAGGTGCCTGTTACAGCGTGTTGTCTGTGATAAAGGTACTGGGACTTTGCAGCTGTAAAATAATAAATAGACCTGTGTCCGGAGTGTCCTTGCATCATCTCTGACCCGAGAATTCTTCCACAATACCTAGGGAGCATGTAAATACTGTATTTTTCTCTGAAAAAGCTGTGTTCACAGCAAAAAGCCTGCAGGGTCAGGATGTAGAGACAAGAACTACTACATTAAGCAGGATACAATACATAAAGCTTTAGTTGTTCTGGTGACTATAGGGTCCTTTTAAGTTCATGTGGATAACTCTTTAAGTTAACTGGGAATTACAGAGCAGATAAGTCCACTTTAAGCTCTGCATTAGATAGGAATGTAATCACTTTGGGTTTATCATGAATATGTCTACCATATGGGCAATGTTATTGTAACGGAACTCCCCGTACTCCGACCGAGTACTTTCCGTTGATGGACGCTTCCTAGCTTGCGCCACATGCACCTCATCGGACACCACAACTACCGCAGACTCCACAACCACCGTAGCTTAATTGGAGTCTCGCCGTCTTCCTTCCACCCTGGATCAGCTTCTGTCCTCCAGGACCTTGTGGTGAAGACCTCTTCTCCAGGAGAGCGTATCAGGAACAGTGATTAAAGCTCAGGGGAGTATGCAGAGCATAGTAATCCCTTGTAGCAGATTCACCCAATAAGATACAGCACTCCAAATTGAGGGTGAAGTAGAACTGACTGTACTGGCACATACAGCCTCTTTTATTCACATTCTGCAAACATAGTACTGCCCACAGGGTTTTGAAGAACAACCAATCAACACATTACAACACAGCTAACACCCCCATTCATTACATCAGAAATCCTCCCCTCTGCCTGTGATACAATTATCTCAACACAATAGACTAACTTAATTATCACAGGCAGGAAAATACAGTATTATAAAACATATAACAGGTACCCCAAAACATGCAATAACCCCATAAATATATCCTCGGAACCGGGGGATCTGGGTGAACCACATATCCAAAATTCACCCAGATCCGTTCAGTAGTTTGGAAGATACGGTTTAATGCAGATTCCGCAGAACATATACAGGCTATATGAAAAATAATTACTGTTAAATGTGTCCCCTGTTCTGTAGTTTAAAACTACTGAATGATGTTTTTGTGCACCAAATACTGGCGAGATGGCACCGTGTAGAAAAGTCCAAACAGTGTCTGTGAGTTAAAATGGCCGCCATCCATTGTTCTCACCATGTGCTTCATCCATTGTTCTCACCATGTGCCTCTGATACATGAAATGGTGGCCACCCAGTAACTCCACAGTTTGTCTGGTAGTCTATCCAGCCGGACCAACAGATGAAACACATGGGGAACAGTGCAACAAACGAAGGGAATCATAAAAAATATGGACAATAGTCATATTTGTGCACAATCTCCAGTTTTGTCACATGGCACAAATAGTGTTTTCAAATGCCATATATCCCAGGGTCAGTAGGTAGGAGGCGGGCAAGCAGCCCCCTCCAAGAAGACGTGGTGAAATCTGTTCCGCCACAGTTATATCTGAGCTATGTCTCACCTGTTATGAAATCTCTGACTATTTTTGGAGATACCCACATCTATCCAGATGTACCTAAGAATAAAGGCTCTTTGTAAGCGTGAAATGCGTCAGGACGTTTAGGTATTTCTGCTTGGGCAATTCAATACACTGTGTATTGAGGTCAGTGGCTGTTGGATTCAAATATTGTTTTATTCCATTTTGGAATAAAAGCAAAATTTTAATCTAAGCCTTAAAGGCTCAGCATTGAGAATGTATTGATTGTATTACCTATGGACTTCTTCCACGGTGGATACGGTGTTATGTCTGAATATTATATTATATGTTAAGTTAACATCATATCTTTCCTGTATGGAGGGGTGCTTTGCTGAGTGCAGAATACTGGGTGTAATGCTCTGCAATTTGTTGCTCAGGTTGAATCCTTGGCGTTACCCAGAGTTTTAGATGAATGTGGATCTCAGCTTCAGCACTTGTTTCTGACATACAGTACAATGATGAAGGCTGTCATTAGCCGTCTGGCGGTGAGTCATGATTCATTTGTTTCCTAATTCTCCCATCTAAACGCTCGCTCCCTTATCTCTCCTTTACATCAAGTTCTCACTCTTGCTGCCCTTCTTTTTGTCCTCAAACCCGCACTCCTCTTCATTCTTTTATCCACCTTTTTCTCTCATTCATCATTCTCTCATCCGCCTTGCGTCATCGTTCATCATTCTTTCATCCAACTCGGTCTTTCATTCAGTCATCCTCCTCGAGCCCTCATTCCTTATTCTTTCAACCACTTTGTGTTCCTTATTCTTTCATCCACCTCAAGCCCTCATTTCTTATTCTTTGATTCGCCTTACGTGTTCTTTTATTCTTCTGTGCTCCATGAGCCCTCACTCCTCTCTCCTTGTCTTAATCCACATAATCCTATTTTTCCTAGGGTGGATCCTGTCCTGATTTGAGGGTTCTAGAACTAAACACAGAGATGAAACAGGGATGCGATGATTTATCATTTTGCATTGAATCATTGCAAACTGGCTGTCCCAAGCTAGAGGTAACTACAAAACTGTGGCGGAGGTTTCTTGGTGGTCGAGATCCTTCCCCTAATAGGGATCCATGCAACATGAAACAGCATTCCTTATTTGCATGCAAAACATGTTTGGGAAAATGTAACATCACCTTCGTAAAAACACCTACAGTCGTAGCTCTGTGATACAGGTTTTACCCCCTCCAACTGGTTTTGCAGACAGAGCCAACTGCTACAAGTCCTACATGACCAGCCAACTGCTGCATGTCCAACATGACCAGCCAACTGCTGCATGTCCAACATGACCAGCCAACTGCTGCATGTCCAACATGACCAGCCAACTGCTGCATGTCCAACATGACCAGCCAACTGCTGCATGTCCAGCATGACCAGCCAACTGCTGCATGTCCAACATGACCAGCCAACTGCTGCATGTCCAACATGACCAGCCAACTGCTGCATGTCCTACATGACCAGCCAACTGCTGCATGTCCTACATGACCAGCCAAATGCTAAATGTCCTACATGACCAGCCAACTGCTAAATGTCTTACATGACTAGCTATCTGCTATAGACTAAGTCCTACTCTATAGGTCCAACACACCCAGCTAACTGCTGCATGCCCTGCATAACTGGCCAATTGCTGCATGTCCTACGTAACTGGCCAGCTGCTGCGTGTCCTACATAACTGGCCAGCTGCTGCGTGTCCTACATAACTGGCCAGCTGCTGCGTGTCCTACATAACTGGCCTGCTGCTGCGTGTCCTAAATAACTGGCCAGCTGCTGCATGTCCTGCATAACTGACCAACTGCTACATGTCCTGCATAACTGACCAACTGCTGCATGTCCTGCATAACTGGCCAACTGCTGCATGTCCTATTGAACTGGTCAACCCACTATAGACTTAGTCCTATTGTATAGGTCCAACAGACCCAGCCACCAGCTACATATCCTATGTAGCGGGCCTGCCGACAACCTCACCGGTTGTCCTTGCTCAGCCATGTCTTGTTCCTGGAAGGGATTCAGCTATAAAGCAGAGAAACCAATTTCTCACCCAGTAACCGAACAACACACAGACCTGGGGGTTCAACAACAACTTTATTGGCCACACTCCGCGTTATACTGTCCCCATGCAAGGGGACGACCCCCTGGGAGGGGGAGGACCCTCTCCCAGGGTCCTCCCAGGGGGTCGCATAACAGAACTGGAACCCCAATCCCTTTGTCCCTTCTTACTGCCACTCCATGCCCCCTCCCAGGGTCCTTCCAGGGACCTGTGCGTGTGACAGGAACTCCAGTCCCTTTGTCCCCAGCTCCTGCCATCCATCCCAAGAGCCTCTGTACCTGGGAGTCCCAGCGCGGGAAAGTTTTCCGCGTCTGAGTCCCAGCCACAGAAATCCTGCCAAACCGCCATTGTCCCCAAGAGAGTGTCCCCACCAATCTCAGGGACCCCCAGAACGGTAACTGCCTCCGCTCGTGGCGTCCCTGGGTTAAACCAGGCAAGGGAAGTGTTACGGTTGCCTCCAGGCTGGCTGGAAGTTGGACCGTAGAAAACATGCTCCTACCGCTCACCAAAGTACCATCAGCACCGTATACACCATAACTTCTTTTATGCAGGTTTTCCTTACATAGGACCACCCACAGGGTTTTACAGAACAACCAATAACACACGTACATTACAGTATTCAGCAATTACACCATAACTACTGCATAGACACCATAAGTACTGCAGACTCCACGAACCGCCGCTGTTGGGCTAGGATCTGGCTGTCGGCTATCCATCCTGGACCTACGACCAGGCTTCAGGTTCCAGTAGGTGAACCTCTTCCTTCTGTAGAGCGAAGCAGGATCAGGAACAAGAGCTCTTACAAGAGCTAAGGGAGTATGAAGAGCATAGCAATCCCAGTAGTGATTATAGCTGTCCCCTACAAACATGAGTCAAGGCTGCAAGTTAGAGGGTCAAGTCATTCTCATTTATTTGGCACCAAAGGGCCTTTTTTTATGCAGGTTTTCCTTACATAGGACCACCCACAGGGTTTTACAGAACAACCAATAACACACGTACATTACAGTATTCAGCAATTACATACAAAAATCCTCCCCTCTGCCTGTGATCTAATTATGGCACACAATGGTTTAACATAATTATCACAGGCAGGAAAAATACAGTTTTTATACATGTACTATAACTTTAAAACCATACATCCAATCTTCATAAAAGATCAGCATACTTCAGAATCAGCATACTTTAAACATAAACACTCTCAAAAATCAGACAAATCCCTCCAGTAGATCAAAAGTTAGTATCATAGATTTGGGCTGTGCTGTCGGTCAATTTCACACTGAAAAATGACTAAGTCCCATTCGAATGCACGAACGAGGCTGTTAATGCATTTGGCTTAGTATAGCAGTGAGTTCAAACTGCCGAACGGGACTTAGTCTCTGAAGCTGAAAACGGAGTGTAGGAGAAGGTAAGGGTCAGCGGTGTTAGTGAAAATGTGTAGCCGATTTCAGTTACATGGATTTGGCTACACATACCGCTGACCTCATGCGAATGAACAAAGATGGCCGCCGCCACGTGTTGGTTTGCACGAACTGCGGCCACCCAGCGGTCGGCAATTTACCTACAGTGGGCTCTCAGCCTGGGAGGTAAATTGCCTGCACACTTCCACTTCTGGGTGGTCCGTCTGTGTGGTACTTGGTTCAGTAAGCCCCATTTACTGAATCAAGTGGGAGAAGCCAGGAACAAGTTATTTTACAGGTCTTACATACTCTTAAAGGGGCATTGTTCACCAAAGTCATAATATGTCCCCAGATAGTTCTTAAAGGGCCATACACACCCAATAAAAGTCCATAAGTTTTCAGGGGCACAATCTCCCAGGGGCCATAGTCATGAGGAAGGAGGCTGGCAAATAGGCTTCTCCACAACCCAGGGAAGCAGGGCAATTTGTCATTTAAAGGGCCAGTTACAAATGGTAGTTTGTAACAGGAAGTGTCTCCTTTCGGGACACAAATGCTCCCCCTGGCCTCCGTTCGTATAGACTAGCGGCGGCCTCCTAGGGAAGCACTCATTAATTAGTTATTATTAATGTTCTAATTGATTGGTGTGAACACTCCAAGGGGCACTGGGGAGGTCCTCGTTCAGGAACCAAACGACGTGGGAAGCAATCCACGAATGCTCCCCCTAGATGGCATTCGTCTAACGGACAGGCCGCCACCCAGGGTTGGCACGCTCCGAGACTTCCCTTGCGGTTTGTGGTTCTGACCCCTCGTTACGAGGTGTGAACGTTCTAAGACAACATTCTAAATGAGGTTTCATGGTGGTCCCCATTCGGGAGGCGAACGGAACTCGTTCGTACTGGCTCTACCAAACAGGGAGCAGGTAAAACTCAGGAATATAACACAACACAGGGGAAACACGGGAAATAACACATAGTAATTCACAACCAGGCAGTGGTCCCGCCACATCCTACATACCTAATCACTACTCACACAAAATAATAAAATCTTCCATCCATATCTTCTTTAGATTCCAAAATTCTTTATTTTTGTGTTTCCAAGGTTCTGCGTCTGCTGAATCTAGTTTGGTCTTCCAAGTCTATAAGTCGACGCTCTGAAGAAAACCCTGGATTTACTGAGCTTCAGGAGCTCTGTCTGGCCACTTCCAACTACTCTTTTGTGAGCGATACTGTCTGTAAGAGACTACTGAGAGATTCCACAAAACTGAAAATGCTGGATCTGAGGGGCTGCTACAGAGTCACCCCACAAGGCATCTGTGACCTGCCCTGTACCGGTAACTGAAAGTCTAAAGTTGTGGAGTATGGTTATCAACCAGAGAAGCTCTGTTACTAGGGAGCCTGGTTATCAGCCAGAGGAGCTATGATACTAGGGAGCCTAGTTATCAGCCAGAGGAGCTCTGTTACTAAGGGAGCCTAGTTATCAACCAGAGAAGCTCTGTTACTAGGGAGCCTGGTTATCAGCCAGAGGAGCTATGATACTAGGGAGCCTAGTTATCAGCCAGAGGAGCTCTGTTACTAAGGGAGCCTAGTTATCAACCAGAGAAGCTCTGTTACTAGGGAGCCTGGTTATCAGCCAGAGGAGCTATGATACTAGGGAGCCTAGTTATCAGCCAGAGGAGCTCTGTTACTAAGGGAGCCTAGTTATCAACCAGAGAAGCTCTGTTACTAGGGAGCCTGGTTATCAGCCAGAGGAGCTATGATACTAGGGAGCCTAGTTATCAGCCAGAGGAGCTCTGTTACTAAGGGAGCCTAGTTATCAGCCAGAGGAGCTCTGTTACTAAGGGAGCCTAGTTATCAGCCAGAGGAGCTCTGTTACTACGGGAGCCTAGTTATCAGACAAAGGAGCTCTGTTACTACGGGAGCCTAGTTATCAGCCAGAGGAGCTCTGTTACTAAGGGAGCCTAGTTATCAGCCAGAGGAGCTCTGTTACTGAGGGAGCCTAGTTATCAGCCAGAGGTGCTCTGTTACTAAGGGAGCCTAGTTATCAGCCAGAGGAGCTCTGTAACTAGGGAGCCTGGTTATCAGCCAGAGGAGCTCTGTTACCAGGGAGCCTGGTTATCAGCCAGAGGAGCTCTGTTACTAAGGGAGCCTAGTTATCAGCCAGAGGGGCTCTGTTACTAAGGGAGCCTAGTTATCAGCCAGAGGAGCTCTGTAACTAGGGAGCCTGGTTATCAGCCAGAGGAGCTATGATACTAGGGAGCCTAGTTATCAGACAAAGGAGCTCTGTTACTACGGGAGCCTAGTTATCAGCCAGAGGAGCTATGATACTAGGGAGCCTAGTTATCAGCCAGAGGAGCTCTGTTACTAAGGGAGCCTAGTTATCAGCCAGAGGAGCTCTGTTACTAAGGGAGCCTAGTTATCAGCCAGAGGAGCTCTGTTACTAAGGGAGCCTAGTTATCAGCCAGAGGCGCTCTGTTACTAAGGGAGCCTGGTTATCAGCCAGAGGAGCTCTGTAACTAGGGAGCCTGGTTATCAGCCAGAGGAGCTCTGTTACTAAGGGAGCCTATTTATCAGCCAGAGGAGCTCTGTTACTAAGGGAGCCTGGTTATCAGCCAGAGGAGCTCTGTTACTAGGGAGCCTGGTTATCAGCCAGAGGAGCTCTGTTACTAAGGGAGCCTAGTTATCAGCCAGAGGGGCTCTGTTACTAAGGGAGCCTGGTTATCAGCCAGAGGGGCTCTGTTACTAAGGGAGCCTAGTTATCAGCCAGAGGCGCTCTGTTACTAAGGGAGCCTAGTTATCAGCCAGAGGAGCTCTGTAACTAGGGAGCCTGGTTATCAGCCAGAGGGGCTCTGTTACTACGGGAGCCTAGTTATCAGCCAAAGGAGCTCTGTTACTACGGGAGCCTAGTTATCAGCCAGAGGCGCTCTGTTACTAAGGGAGCCTAGTTATCAGCCAGAGGAGCTCTGTAACTAGGGAGCCTGGTTATCAGCCAGAGGAGCTCTGTTACTAAGGGAGCCTAGTTATCAGCCAGATGAGCTCTGTTACTAAGGGAGCCTAGTTATCAGCCAGAGGAGCTCTGTTACTAAGGGAGCCTATTTATCAGCCAGAGGAGCTCTGTTACTAAGGGAGCCTAGTTATCAGCCAGAGGAGCTCTGTAACTAGGGAGCCTGGTTATCAGCCAGAGGAGCTCTGTTACTAAGGGAGCCTAGTTATCAGCCAGAGGAGCTCTGTTACTAAGGGAGCCTAGTTATCAGCCAGAGGAGCTCTGTTACTCAGGAGCCTGGTTTTGTCCCAGGTTTGTTAATAAACAGGAAGAAGGAGGGCTTTACGGGGTGCATTACCCGGGCTATTTCCATAGATTATTATTTTATATTCTTACTGGTAGGATTTGTTGGCCTCAGATTGTTGTAACTCTCTGGATGTTGTATATTACATACGGTGCTGGCTCTTGTTTTTCCCAGGAGTCAGTATAACTGTTTGTTTGCTCCTGGATTAATACCAGATCTCCCTCTGCCACAGACCTGGAACGCCTATATCTGGGCATATACTGCAGCACCAAAAACCTGATCCTGCCAGGCTCTGGGAGTGCCCTCCTTGCCACGAGGTGGCAGCACAGTTTGCGAGAGCTCGATCTGGCCTCACAGAGTTTCAATGAGAGGGACCTGACACAAGCTCTGCATATACTTTCACGAGGAGGAAATAATGAGACCTTGCAGTCCCTAAATGTCGCTGGTACAAAGGTCACGTCTTCTGCTATCAGGTGGGCTGTCTGTCTCTAACTTACTAGTCACCTAAAAGCTCATCATTAGATGTGTATTCTTTATCGTGCTGGCACGAAGCCTGGCATCTTCCACAGATACAATATATACAATGATTAACTATTGTTTTCTGTGAATGCTAATGTCGGTGCAGCAATTCATAGTAAGATATAAGAGCAGAGCATTCTGGGAACTGTAGGGGAGAAAAGTAGGCTTTACTACTACAAACCTCCCCTGAGTAACAGCTACAGTGGCATTTATTGTGGAGAGGGAGAAGACTGTATGATGGCTGCTCGGGATCCTGCTAACACATTATTTTCCTTTATCTGCTTCAGGAATTTGCTCCGTAGCTGCCAGTCTCTCTCCCACCTGGATTTATCTTCTTGTCGTTGTCTTCCACGGGGGATGAAACGTGTATATCGAGGTGAACAAGATATCCACGAGTGTCTAAATGGACTGACTGAGGAGTTAAAGAAGGAATTGGGAGGGGATGAGGAGCTGTATCTGGGACCTTCAGAAATGGACGTTTAGATCCAGTGGAACTGCAGAGGCAGCCAAGATAGGTTCACTAAGAGACTGAACCTCCGAATATTGATCGATGCCTGATATGGGACAAGAAGAGACTTTCATTAGAAATGGAGTCACATCTAAGACTGATTAATGGAAAATAAACCAGGCGGAATTGGTCAACACCTGATATTCTCTCTGAATGGCACCTTGAGAAGAAATAGGATGAACAGCTGAGACAATTTTTACTTTTGGGGCAGGTTAACATGAAAGTCATGTAATTTTGAGCTGTGGGAGGCAGTTGAAGTAATACTTTTTAGACTGGGCATAATGCAGCAGTTTAGATGAGACTCATTGGTTTAGTAAAAATGGGGACAGTTTAGTTGAGACCTCTTGAGTTAGTAGGAATGGGGGTGGCAGTTTGTATAATGGGGGTAGTTTAGATGAAACTGCTTGGGTATTAGCAATGATCGGGGATGTAGGGAGACTCCTTTGGTAATTAGCAATGGGGGGGCAGCTTAGATGAGACTCGTTAGGTTATTAGCAATGGGGGAGATTTAGATGAGACCCTTGGGTTATTAGCAATGAGGGGGGCAGTTTAGGTGAGACTCCTTGGGTTATTAGCAATGGGGGGCAGTTTAGATGAGACTTGTTAGAATAGTCACATCCCCGGAAAGCCCTGATCTGAGTGCTTAACATATCCAAAAAGCACTCCGATCGGTTCGGTAGTTTGGAATTTTCATCGAGGTACAGTTTTGACCGGCCGGCAACTATGTAGAAGCCCAAAATAGTTCCAGAGAAATCATGGCAACGGCCGGCCTCAGTTCGAGGGTTTTTCTACGAAAGACACACACCGTATCCGAACGCTTTTTAGTGTTGAATGCTTCTCCCATTCGGTAGTTTATATCTCCCAAACACCGTTTGTATAGGTGGTTGGGAACTTGAACGGGCAACAGTTTCATATTCACTGGTGTTTGCGGGAGTGCCTAGCCGTAATAAGCTCCAGGCACTCTACGACCAGGTACCACTGCCTGCGTTCGGGAGACAAGATGGCAGCCACCCAGGGGAGCCTTTTAGTGATAGTTTCCATGGTGGTTTCGCACTGGATACTTTGTATTCCACATTCTAATTAAATGTTTGGGTGGTCTGCGTCCGGGAACCGAACTAGGAGAGTTTCAAATGGGCAAACGAACAGGGGAAAAATTAATATTACCAAACCAAGTGATGGGGCATTCCTTCACAGGTGGGATGTGATGCAATGTGTCTCTTGACTGTAACCTGAGGGGCAATTAAATACAAATAATTTTTACCAAAAGCAACATATTAATAATTTACTTATAAACTTAAAGGTTTTATCAAGGTTCTCCTTAATGTTTAAATATTTTGTATCTGGTAATTTAAATATATGTTTATTACTATTAAAAGATTCAATTGTTGGGTAAATTAAAGTTGTATATGTATGGAATATATATAAAAAATATTATCTGATGATATTCACACACACAGCCTTCAGGGACTGATTAGTTATTTCTTTTAAGCGGTGATATAAACACTTATGAACGGCAGATGACAAATAAAAAGACTTTGCTTAAAATATATATATAGCGTATATACTCGAGTATAAGTCGACCCGAATATAAGTCGAGACCCCTAATTTTACCCCCAAAAAACTGGGAAAACTTATTGACTCGAATATAAGACTAGGGTGGGAAATGCAGCAGCTACTGGTAAATTTCTAAATAAAATTATATCCCAAAAAAATTATATTAATTGAATATTTACAGTGTGTGTATGTAACGGCACCCCCAGGCATAAAAGGGTTAAACCGCCTTTTAGTAGATCTTCCCTTCCAGAGACACAGCCACAGCTACTGCAGAATACCAAACTCCCGAACTGCATACAAGGGAATGCTCCAAACTCCCGAACTGCATACAAAGTAGCACTCCAAACTCCCGAACTGGAACCTCACGAATAGCTGCTAGCAGACGAACAGGAAAAGCACCCAAGCGGCTTACACTCCTGGCAATCCGTCTCTAACAGCATAAAGTAAATCTCCCCAAAAAAGATGAGACAGAGCTCCGTGTTGAGGGTCAAGCAGTAGTCTGGTTTATTGAGGGCTATCTGCCCAGTATTTATGCAGGTCTCCCAGCTGGTGGACACTCCCTTAGGGGACCAAATGGGAGACTATGAGAAAGGACAGACATGAACCAATGACAGACCCTGGCGCTCAGATCACATACATACAGTTCAATCGCCATGGAGCCAAAGTCTTTCCCATAGTCTTTCGTTACACGAATAGGCTCCATGGCATGGCTATCTGGGGTAATGCTGTTCATACGGTTAAACTACCGAATGAACAGGCATCCGGTTAAATGACCGAATGCAGACGCAAGGAGGCTGACAGCTCAGCGGTGTTCGCGCAAATAAGTGTCCGTTTCTAGTTCAATAGTTTGGGCGCTGAACACTGCTGGCTGTTCGGGACTTTAAAATGGCCGCCACCACGTTTTCGGCAAACGAAAAAAGGCCACCCAGCATTCGGCAATTAAGCTGTGGTTAACCACAGCTTCTGGGAGGTAAATTGCCGACACACTCTCAATACAGGTGGTCCAGTCATTCGGTTGTTTGTTCGGTAGATTGAATCTACCGAACGCCGGGCAGAAAGGCACGAACAAGCCTTTTCTGCAGGGGAAAAGAAGGCTTTTTAACATGGGGCCATAGTCCAGGGGCAACGGACGAGCAACCAGGCTTCTTCAATGCTTCGTGGCGAGGTTGGTTTCGCCACATCTCTCCCCTTTTCCAAACAGACTAACAGGGTATCTGACCTCCTGCCGGTCAGTGCCCTTGTTAGTCCAGCAGCCCACCCACAAAACACAATCAGCAGTACAGCCCACCCACAATAAATGGTTACTACACCTGGGTAGAGGAGAAACTTGTCCAGGTCCAGGTGCCTCAGCACAGCTGTGCGGGAGACTGGTAGGCTGAGTGGGCAGAGACCAGCGTGTAGCGGAGGCCTGGTATTTCACAGGTTAACTCCACTAAAGATCCCAGTGAGGCTCAGGAACAAGTGATGAAAAATCCCATAAAGTAATAATTCCAGCAAAGCAAGGTAATCCACGAATATCCCCATACAGATCCCAATGACTGGACGACACACAGCATCAGGAGCAGAACGAAACTTTTAATCACACAGTGGCCTTATAAAGCATTCTCACACGCAAGGGAGGGATTTACAATCATTAGTACAGTGTCCAATCATACCTGAGTAACCTCTCACACATCTCCTCCCCTTAGCCTGAATCATAATCCCCTTATACAGAACACAAATTCCCTGGGTTTCTGGATGTACCCCTAAACCTAGGGGTACCCCTTTAAATATTACATCCCCTAGTAGCCCTGATCTGGACATATCCAAAAATCACCCAGATCGGACCAGGGGTTCAGGAAATCTGTGGATGTATTAAAAAGACTGACTGCGCTAGAGGGAACAGCCGAAATTGGTTCCATGAGATGGGGCCCTGCGGTCGGTCACAGTAGAAGGGAATAAATGGCACGAAAGGCTTGTGCTATAGAGACTAGGGAGGGTTCGCATTAATCCCCTTGTTCGGGAGTTTTAAAATGGCCGCGGCTCGGTAGTTTGGATATTTAAGGGCAGTGTGGATGTCTCAGTGGAGGTCTCGGCGGTGTTCGCCTAGCCGAGGTCCGATTTGGGTTCCAGACACTCGATGGGAAAACACAGCTGTTCGGGAATTTTAAAATGGCCGCCGCCACGTGTTCGTTTCCCGAATGGCGGCCACCCCGCGAACAAAGGACCCACTGCACAGATTGCCAATTACCGGTTCGCAACATTGTTGCAACCGGTAATTGGAGGCATACTTCCTACTGGGGTGGTCTGACTGTTCGGTAGTTTCATTCTCATAATGACTGGAGTGAATCTACCGAACAATCAGGCGAATGCTGCATACAGTTCCACATACATAGATACAATTTAACTGAATACATAATAATAAATGTAGTTTTTAGGACAGCCCAATGCCATCCGCTACACAGCGGCACTCTGCCCTGGTGCCAGCGCTACCGTGGAAGTAGCCTGGTTGGAGCATGGTTGCTGGAGGGGGAGACCGACCGTCTCCCCTTTAGATACCCAGCTGTGCTGCTGGAGACAACTGTCTCCCCTTTAGATACACAGCTCTGCTGCTGGAGGGAGAACCGACTGTCTTCCCTTTGGCTAAACAGCCCTGTCGCTGGGGGGGCAGGACCGACCGTCCCTACCCCCTGTGCTGTAAGTGCAGAGACCACGGTCCCATCTGCACGGTTGTCGGGCTTACTGTCTCCCTTGGGTATGTCAAGCTTCGGCTGGGGAGAGGGGGTAACAGGCTCCTCTCCCATATATACTTCCAGCCTACTGTCTCCACTCCCAATACAGAGTCCTGCTGCTGGGGAAAGGAGACTGGGCTCTCTATTCCCTGTAGGACACTCTGCTGCTGGGGGGCAGGACCAACTGTCCCTGCCCCCTTTAACTCACTCTGCCGCTGGGGAAAGGAGACTGGGCTCTCAATTCTCTGCATATTACACTGCCGCTGGGGAATGGAGACTAGGCTCCAAATTCCCTGCAAATCACACTGCCGCTGGGGAATGGAGACTGGGCTCCCAATTCCCAATAAATCACACTGCCACTGGGGAGAGGGGGTAGCAAGCTCAGGAACAAGTGATGGCTCCCACATATACATTTCCAGCCACGGGGAGTGAGACCGACTGTCTCCGCTCCCAATACAGTGTCCTGTTGCTGGGTAAAGGAGACTGGGCTCTCTATTCCCTGTAGGACACTCTGCCGCTGGGGGACAGGACCAACTGTCTCTGCCCCCTGTAACTCAGCCTGCCGCTGGGGAATGGAGACTGGGCTCCAAATTCCCTGCAGGACCGGTGGAGAGACCTCGGTCCCATCTCTACCAGCCACCTGGGGTTCCTCCCAGCAAAACTCCTCTATCTCGTCCCAGCTGAATGGGTCTGGCTCTGGGTCTGTCACCCTGCACTGGAGTGGAACAGCTGCTGGTAGCCCTTTTCCAGCTCGATCTCCCGGGTCACCAGGTGGACCAGGTCTTGCTCAATCTCGTGAGTATCGTCCCAGTCATACCTGCTCTCCCTCCACTCAAAGAGATCACAAAACAGGGCTTGTGTAGGGCTCCCAAACTGAGGGTCTGAAAAAGTCTTCCATAACAAGCCAGGACCATCAAACGCCTCTCCTTCTGGCTTGTCATGCTCGGCTGTCCAGGGCAGGTACTGTGCCCCATACCACCAGAGCGCCTGGTAGGCATCTTCCAGCCAAATCTCCTGTCATACCCGGAGCTCCAATTCCTTCACCCATTTCTCCAGGGGCTGCTCTCCCAGGAAGGGCATCCGCAGGGCTAGTCACTTCTGCAATCGCTGGTCTTCCTTGGGGAGTCTCTCGCCCCGCTGGTACTCCGCAATACCCAGTGCCTGGTACCAGATGCCTTTTTGGACTGCATCTCGGTCATCCATGACACCCTCATCGTACTCCACTGCTGGTTCCATCCCGGTGCTGTCAGGGTCGCTGTACTGGGACATGCGTTGCCCTCAAATTGTAAAATCCACGTAATGGTGTCTCTTGTAGCTGTCCTTCTGGCTGTAGGAACAATCCTGCCGCTTGCCACCAATTGTAACGGCACCCCCAGGCATAAAAGGGTTAAACCCCCGTTTAGTAGATCTTCCCTTCCAGAGGCACAGGCACAGCTACTGCAGAACACCAAACTCCCAAACTGCATACAAATTAGCACTCCAAACTCCCGAACTGGAACCTCACGAATAGCTGCTAGCAGACGAACAGGAAAAGCACCCAAGCGGCTTACACTCCTGGCAATCCGTCTCTAACAGCATACAGTAAATCCCCCCAAGAACGAGACAGAGCTCCGTGTTGAGGGTCAAGCAGTGGTCTGGTTTATTGAGGGCTACCTGCCCAGTATTTATGCAGGTCTCCCAGCTGGTGGACACTCCCCTAGGGGACCAAATGGGAGACTATGACAAAGGACAGACATGAACCAATGACAGACACACAGAGGTAAAACATCCCCACAATGCATCCTAATTTCCCTCCCTCTGTCCTGGAGATAATTGGGAAGTAATCCAATTATCTCCCAGGACAGAGGCAAAACTCCATTAACCACATGGCAGTAAAAGACAGTAAAAGACATAAAAATTTATAAAGTTACAACTGTTGCACAAAACATATACATTCTACCTATCCCCAGATAGCTTTGATCTGAGCGCACATTATTACCGGATGGTGCTCAGATCACATACATACAGTTTGTAACGGCACCCCGAGGCATAAAAGGGTTAAACCACCGTTTAGTAGATTTTCCCTTCCAGAGACACAGGCACAGCTACTGCAGCTACACCAATCCGCCGAACAGGAAACCATATGAATGCTGTAAACAGCCGAATAGGAAAAACCATACGAATAGGTTTACACTCCTAGCAGTCGAACTGGAACAGCATACAATAAATCCCCCCAAGAACGAGACAAAGCTCCATGTTGAGGGTCAAGCAGTGAACAGTCAGAGCTGTGGGTTTATTGTGCTTATGTACACATTCTTACACATTACATTAGTACCACCCACAGGGTT